GTCTATTTATTTTTGTTTTCTTAGATACTGTTTTTGTATCAGTCAGTATCATTTTGATAAATATTGTATACGAAGGTTTTGTGACAAGTGTTACTTTTTTTTTTCGAATTTCGTTTTGGTAGTAGTAGCGAGATAATAGTAACGAATATATTTTGTGCAAGTGAAAACACTGGCCCGTGTAAATTAGCATAAATACTGTCTTAATTGTTAACTCTTTGGGGCATAGTGGGGTAAAAAGTGTCCCACCTTTTTGGGACTTACATATGCACAGTAGGATGTTTTTCATCCCACCTTGAAACATTAAGAAAATAAAACTAATCTAATTTAATCTGTTTTCACAAATTTAATGTGAGATTATTTATGTCCCACCAAATAATTAATTATCTCAACATTATTTTTTGAAGTTTTAGTTGCTTTATGTCGTAATTCATACCTACTTTGTTACATTTTTTTTAAATAACATTCCTGTGCAACTAGAGTCTGTTTTTGTCTTAAAATTCTGTGTTTCAAAGAGTTAACCCTTTGCAGTCTAAGCATTTTTTGTCTTGGAAAAAAAAAAAAGGATTTTCAGTCTTTACGAATTTATTTATTTCTGTTTCTTATGTTAATTTGCATTCTTTTGATAATATAAAATAATATAAAAAAAGTCTGAATTGTACATTTCTCCAAAGTAATTTACGCGTGCAAAGGGTTAAATAGCTCGATTAGAAATTGGGGCGACCTTCGAACACAATATCTAAGACAAGATAATTGCTCTAATGATAAGTGTACAACCAAAGTATTGTGATGCATTCGAAGATAGATTTCATATATGTAGTTACTTCCAAAAATATTCGGGCGCTAACAAAGCAACCATTAAACACGGTGCAGGCAAACATATTCGTAATATTTGACATATTTTGAAATATTGTATAATTGAAATGTTTGAAATATTACGAATATGACTAATATGAACATTATATTACTCTATTCGAATTTAATATTATTTATTATTATTTCAAATTATTTCACTATTATTTTAAAATATGAATGTTTACTGAGTATCCGAATAATTTGTGATATACAGAAATGCATTAATGTAACAATACGTAACTCTGCAGTACAATAAACGACGTTTCATTATGAAAAAGCATCAACCTAATTCTTTTATAATTAACCGAATTACGTCTCTAGAAAGGGAAGCTTATGTAGTGTCCGAATATTTTTCGGAGTAACTGTACTTTTGAATATATTTTATAAACGAAAGATTAATATTACGTTTTGCAATTATTTTCTATTTAAGAAAAAGAACATATATTCTATCACTTCTAAATTGCAAATCCTTTTACATTGTATTTTTTATTCAGAGTGTCGTGGAAAATTTGAATTCAAAAGAACGGATTTAAACGCAGTGTAAAAATTTTCTGCGATAAGTATCGTGAAATCTTTTAACTCGTTGAATGTAAAGTAAGTTTCTGTAATTCTTTCGTGCGTTACAAACAGATAAATACAAACGAACGAATAAATTACCGACATTAGGTAATGATATATTTACGGTCACAATAAGGATATATAAATTGTTGTATTTACAAAAAATTCTTCTTTCCTATTTTTCATTGCCGGTATATGATACAATAATCACTAAGAGTTGACTAGAATCAAATTAAATTGACTAAATCAAACTAATTTGACTAAAATTGCTCGGAGCAATTTGCTTGATCATTTGGCATATTAAATCTCATGGGGTTTCGTTAATGTGAAGATAGTATTAATTTTCGTGACCAAAGTCACTATGACCAGAGAGATATTGATTATTCTACGGGAAACCATAAATTGGCTTAATTATACGAATCAATTTCTTGTTAATATGTGGGACGAATAATTTACCGCTCGTTTACTTCTGTATTGCTATAAATGGTCACTTTCTGAATGGTAAGAATAAATATTCGATATCTAGTATACGAACGCTATGTCATTTCACACATATTTCTTGGCCATCGTGTTCATTTGTAACAACTTCAAAGGGAATGGAAAACGAAGTAAAAGAAATCACATTTATTTTAATCACATAAATAACAATTAGTCGCTCAAAATTAAAGATCTATAAATGCAAGAAACGTGCAATTAAACTCAAGTGAAATTGATTCTGTATAATTTTCAAATTTTCGTGTATTTTTGACGCCATCGACGATTCCAGAATACGGGAAAAATTTGACAACTGAAAATTAAACAACAATTAGTCGCACAAAATTAAAGATCTACAAATGCGAGAAACGTGAAATTGATTTTGTATAATCTTCAAACTTTCGTGTATTTTTCGGCGATTCCCAAATATCGGAAAAATTTTGTTCATTTCGTAGTAAAAAATGATTCACATCAACTGACGCGCGTAACACTTTGATTTTACGATGACTGTCGACTCGTCAAATTCATGATCCTTACGTATCATGTATAAACTGTACTACGAGCTTTACCATAGCTTGCCTTTTGTTTGTCATGAAAGAACAATAGGAAGTATGAAAGAAGAAAATATCCCCTGGAGCATAATAGAAACGGTTACACGTTCTATACTTTTATGCCCCCCTTTTCTCACTGTCTGCAAACTACTTTTATCGAAAATCAATTGTTCAGTGGCGAGAAAATCTGCGTGAACTAGGTATAATAAAATTGAAATGGAAAAACTTTCTTATATATTTTAAAAGGCAGTCCAAAATTTACACTAGCACCTTCGTCAAATTGTTGTCGCGAAGTTAAATTTGTATTTCTTTGTTTATACATCAAATATCGTATTATACTTTACTAAGTTGGGAAAACTTCGGCAAAATTCTGAATTTTCCAAATTTATTCCTCAAAATTTTGATTTCTTTGTTTATACATCAAATACCAGATTATACTTTACTAAGTTGGGAAAACTTCGGCAAAATTCTGAATTCTCCAAATTCCGGACTTCTCCAAATTTATTCCTTGATATTATTAGTAAATTCTTCGTACGTCAGTGACAATTCTTAGTATTTGTTTTTCGGATTTTTATGAAAAGTAAGGTAATTGCAGCAATTAAAACGGGTGATAAAATTCTCGTTGTAGTTAGAGTACGGTGACGATGTGTGGCTTCAGCTGTTGGAAAGAGCCGATTGTAAGCATATGGTCTTCAACACGCGGCAGACGTATCCTGACGAGCTTATGACCAATTTGGCAGCTGCGTTGGCTGATGTCAATGGTGAATCTGTAGAGAGTGTAATGCAATTCTTTGGAAAATGCTTCGTTAGATTTTTTAGTAACTTAGGGTAAGTGAGTGTTTCACGTTCAACTCGAAAAACTTCTTGAAAGCACAGTTTATTTCATGATTGTAGAGTAATGTTTTAGTAGTTTCATATTGAAAGTAGATGATAAAAATGACGTGCTATAATATTTTCAGCAATGCTTTTTGCACTTCTTTTGTTAATATACAGGCTGTTCAGCGTAATGGTCGCCACGATTTTTCACACACTTCCGGTAGTCTGACGAAAAAGTGTTGTAAACGAAAATTAATCAGTGCTCGATCGTCAAGAGATTGCAAGAATATTTTTTTTTTTTTCAATAAAAACTCGAAGTCACCTTCATATATTCAATGATTTAATTTTTAATTTAATGATAAAACATTCTTGTTTGACTTATGCATTCATAAACACCCTCATTACAGTAAAAATGATTTTCTCGATAAATTATTGAACAAAAGTATCTTTGTCCCACATCGTTAAATTAGTCTCAATGTCATCTACAATACCACTACATGGTGTCGTTCAAAAAAGTGAAGATGACATCGATCTTCTATTGGAAAAATACAATATTTTTACAATTTGTTGACGATCGAGCACTGGTTCGTCATTTTTATTTACAAAATTTTTTGTCGCACTACCGGAAATGTGTCAAAAATCGTGGCGGCGGTTACACTGAACACCCTGTATAGCTGACGATCCTTAAATAAATAATATGAAATCTGGCAAACGTAATTTCGATATTTAAAATTCCCATGAAATGCAATTACTTCTCATTGCAAAGTAGTCGTATTAATTGGAAGATTCAAAAGTAATTAGGTCAATTAATTGTGATTTTGAAATATAAACGAAGTCAAAATGTTTGTTTCTGATTGCACGGGGTAAGAACAAGTGTTTGATTTCATTAAAATCGTGTTACGATGTTAGATTTAATGTTTTATCAACGAAATGGTTTAACGACCATTGCACATCGAGAACTGCGTAACACGGAAATTCATTTTTGCCTATTGAACGAAGGTCGGTACATATGAAACGTCGTTTTTGCAATGAAACTTTAAATACATTGTGTTTATAAAAAAAAAAGGTAATATATTTAATCAAATGAATTTCCACACGATTCTACTTTTCCAGAACTATGTAGTTTCATTATTCCAAATTAACAAAAATCGGTGGTATTTAAATGAAAAAATGTTTTCAATGCTGCTTTTACAGTGTTTTCATTTCGAAATAATTTATTTATTAAAAAATTGTTCAGGTGTTTGAAGAAATGGTAGTCTGTTGAGAAAAGGTTGAGCGAATATGGGAAGATGTGGCAAAATTTCATGTCCTTTACCATGGATTGTTATCAATAATTTTTCTTAAAACTTTGTTCATTTCTCTTGGTTCATTTTCAGAAATCTTGAATTTTGCACACCAACGTGTCCCAACATTTACACAATCTTCTTCGAATGCTGCATTCATCTTTTCAGCAGCTTTTCCAAATTTAAACTTATATAAAAAAGTAACGCGAATATCCCTGTTATTCATCACGTCAGATAAATACTGTCCAGAAAATTGTGTTATGAAATTTTTCACTACTCAATTCAGCAAATTCCTTCTTCTTGACTATTGTGTATGAAAATTTATGATCGGACAAAATTTAATATACGATATCACCCCGCCAATTTCAGCTGTTGAAAGAACGACATTTCATTTACACCAACCTAATAATTTCACGAAAAGCTTCAACGAATATTTGATTACTTTTGAATATATATGTATTGTAGATATTATCTACCTGGGTTTATTAATGAGACTCTTTCTAAGCAATCAAAAGTCATACTGCCTCTGTTAAATGTCATTTTGCTTTCCTACTTTTATCGATAACGCTGAAAATAAGGTATTACAAATGATTTGTTAGAGTGTTTCAATTCTATAGTTACAATTAGTGTATTTTATAAGATAAAAATCGAGTGATATATGATCTCGTTACTTCTCCGCGTCTCACGAGAGATGATTATCTTAAGCATGAAACGCAGAGCATTGTACCGATTGTGTGATAAATTTCAAGTGTTAGATACTGAAGCTAACAGAAAAAAGATTGTGTTCTTTAAAGTTTTTCGTTAACTATATTCAAAACGTGAATGAAAATATACTAAATTTATTCTTGAAACTATGAAGAAAGTATTTGCGATTTATATTTCACGTACTTAAAATATTAAGTTATATTACTTTTTAGAAATTTTCTCAGGATCCTACTATTAAATCTGTTTTCAGAGGAAAAGGGCATTATACAGTTCGAATATTTGAATCTAGTTTGAATTTCCAAAAATAAGTACCTACTGATAAAACATTCTTTACGAATTCTACAAAAACGTCCTTTTCATTCATCGAAATTTCTAGAATAAAAAAAATTGAAATTCATCAGAATCGAACATTCCGCAGTAATGATTATCTTTGTAACAGGTATGCTTGTATGATAAAAGCGACTGGTCGTTATTTTTGTGACTTTCTACAAAGCGTCGACAATATTCATATGCAGATGAGATTCACATATCCAAAAATGAAAAGTCCTTCAATGTACATTACCCACGTCGACTCACAGGGTGTAGTATTAGTATATCGAAGCACTAGGAAAGGTTTCACACACTATCTTATGGGTAAGATATTACAAATAATGCAACCATGAAATTCTCAGATTGCTTTAACCCCTTGACGTACGATTTCCTTTCCCGGCTATTCATCTAAGCGTCGGCTATTTACCATTTCGGTACAGTATTAAGAAAGAAAAGCTGATGAGATTAATTAAATTTGCCAATGTTCAGTTTTACAAATTAAACCGAGAATTGGAATTAAAGTGAACTTTTGTCACCAGTATGACTGTTTTTATCAGATCTTGACCAAAATCTGTGCCACGAGTCTGACTCGTTATTGTACGTCAAAGGGTTAACAGAAGCACTGTGATAAGCGTTACAAAAGTTTATCGTACAATTCTATCGACATAATTATTGCACCGACGTAAATTCTATTTTCTTTATTTTTTAACAGTAAGTCTACCGGAAAGTTCTGTCCGTTTTTGAATGAAAGGAAAATAATAATTGGAATAATAATTTGTGGATTCCATTTCTGTAGAATGACTCATCTTTGGATCTTGAGATGACATTATCGGACAGAACTTTCTGGCAGACCTAATACTTTGGTTTAGGGCAGGGGTTCCGAAAGTTTTGCCTAGGTGGGCCAAATTGTAAATTCGAAAATATTTGGCGGGCCATTAAGACAATTACGGTCATTGGCCGTTGAGACAATAAAATATATAAACATAAAATTTAGTATTTCTTTAACTGAATAATTCTTAATTGTAATATGATAAAATTTATTTATTTTTTCGTAAAAATGTAAATTATCTCTGTAAATTGAAGAGATTGATCTGCCATCGCGGGCCGCACTTTGGAAACCCCTGGTTTAGAGGATCCTACAGACTGATTGTAGCATCTGTTTTGTAGATCTCTTTTTCCAAAGTGATCCATGCCATCGATAGCGGAAACTATCGATAATAACAGTGTCCAACAAATTTTGACCTTGAGAAAAATCCGCAATGTCCATTGGGTGATTCTTATAGATTTCCTCGTCCCAAATGTGAATCCGGAAGCAGAATTGCTCTATCGCCCTAGGTTCTTTAAAAATATAGCTCTCTGTAAATGCACACGATTTTGGGCAAAAATGAGGTATTGCGAGAAAATTGAAAATTCTAGACAGTGCAATTTAGTCTTGAAAGATAGAAGAGAGTGTCCTGAATATATTAGTGTATGCAGTTATTAAATTTGATGGTTTTGCATGGTTGTAAATGGGCATCAGAGTGATAGAGCAATTCTACTTCCGGATTCGTGTTTGGAACGAGTTTGGATAGCGGCAGCTATCGATAATAATCGATGTACCACTGATAGCGGAGACCATCGGTAATAATCGATATTTTTCCATCTCTGTCTCGTACAAGTCGTAAAGAAGAAGATAGTAACATTCGGCGTCGTAAACGGCATTTGTGACTTCTGTGCAACTACTATTTGCCTCACCATGACACAGGTGCATGTCGAAAAGTTCTTCAAATGTGTATTCCATTGTATAATGCAATATAACGAACATAACGTATACTATGCACGCAACACGCATAAATCACCGAGAAACAATCACTTTACACGACGATGTTCGCATACACATGCGCTACTACGAAGTGAAACCTGAAGAGAGACAAAGAAAGTTTAAAAAATCCTGAAGAAAAATAAATTAAATCTATATTAAAACCAGACTAATATGCAGTAAATGAAATTTAATTGATATACTAAACTAAATATATAACTCGAAGAGAGAGATTAAAACTATGTTCGCTTATGGCGTTGAGTAGCTCTTAAAACTTTCGGTTTAGTTGTGCAAATGATTCTATCCTTTCAAAACTTCCACCGTTAACTTTCCGACGTTTTTTGGACACATCTGGTGAACACCGTGTACACTTTCTTCACTGTCATATACCTGCTTAAAAGCGTACTCCCAAATATTGAGATTGTTCCTTGTCGTTTTCAATTTCATGGGAATTAAGAGCAGCAGGAAAGGAAGTTAGGTGTAAATTTTTCCTTCTGATTAAACATTTGATTACTATCACGTCGAATTTTAAGCAATTGGAAAGTATTTTCGAATTAATAAATAATTCTAAAAATGAAAAGGACCTTAAATATGACCCAATATTAAAATCTTCTTCGAAGGCAGACGAAACCACATTTTCTTATTTTACCAGGAATTATATTGTTTAAAATTATACAAATATATCATGATTAAAATAAGAAACATATTTATCAGAGAGGAGAGTCGTGATTCTGTTTCGAACTTCGGTTGAAACAGAAAACGTCTGGAAGTTGGGTCAACGATGACCCGGCATCTGTCGTTCGAAGTTTAAGGAATTATAATCGTGTAACGAATAAAAAACAAAATTTCATCCGTTATTTGTTATTCGAATAACTGTTTTTTCTTAAATTTTATTCTTTTCATTCAACACTGGTGTACGATGATTGTTTCTCGGTGATTTCTGTGCACAGCGTACGTTATGTTTGTAGTATTGCTGTATACAATGGAACACACGTTTGAAAAACTTTCCGACGTACACTTGTTTCGTGGTGAAGCAAACGGTAGTGCCACAGATGTCGGTAATGTCGTTTACGGCACCGAATGTCACTACCTTCTTCTCTATGACTTGTACGAGGTAAGTTGTGTGACATGTGTCGTTGGCTTTGCGCATCACTGTGCACCCCGTGTCACACCATGTCCTATATTCTTCGATGTAGAGAGGTTTGCTCGGTCACGGGGATATTTTCAAATGTTAATAACTAAAGAACGAAGCTTCGAACGCAATTTTTTCATTCTTGATTTTTGTCTTATTTTCGCTTGTAGAATCACCCCTCTCCTCTTCTCTAAATTTTCTACCAACATTTATGTCAAAATTCTACGTATCAGATTCATCGGTTAAGCGTCACACTTAGGGTACTTAAGATGAAGTAACTTCGTAGAGTTTACGTAGAATGAACAAACTTATTTCTATTACTATTGCACAATACTTGTTGGGAATACTAATGCACACTTTTCCGCAGGTCAGCTATTTCAAATAGCAAAAGAGCTTTACGAAACAAATTTGGATATAAGAGTATTGGGAAGTTCAAATAATATCCCAGGGTCAAGAAGTGTAATGGTTAAATTTAGAATTGATTTTGATAATCGTGAATACGTAAGTAGTTGTGTAAAAATCATAAGTAGTTCGATCTTTCAAATTATCACTATAATCCAGTAATTCAAAGAAATTGGTTGCATATATCTAAAAGGAATGAAAAAATTTATTTTATAATTTTCACATATTTTTAAAGTTTGAGAATATTCATGATACATATGTAATTAAGTTTTAATTTTAAGAAAAGAAGGTATTCTAAGCATATGGTTTCCCTATGGAAAATAAAAGGATTTTTTAAAGTCGAAAACTTTTCCAAGATTTAATAATACATTGTGCAATTACTTTCCAATGTTAGATCGCGAAGAACAACAGAATGAAAATCCCTCTAGGTCGTGAACTACAACCAGTATCGATTTCATTCCTTTTACGTCTTTTCCCTTTCGGTGTGCTGATGAACAAAGACATGCAAATATTGGGTGCTGGTGACAAATTACTGCAAGCATGGGGTGGCAGTTCGTCTTTCTTGAATAAACATATCATGGAAGTATTTAAACTACGTAGGCCTAAAGGAGTATTCTTCACCTGGGGAAATGTAAGAGAACATTCTATAGTAAACAAACCAAAATGTCTCGTATTTTACATGTGTCTTTCTACTACTTTTTATTTGATCGATACAATTTTGTAAGATCACTGGTAATTCTTCATCTTTATTCATCTTCATCTTTATTTCTATTTACCTTCGTTTTCAAAACATGAAAAATGACAATTATCGAAATAAATAAAGCAGCACTTTCAACGTCAATTCCTTGATAAATAAATCCTCAATTTGCGAATATAAAACTATAATTATTTTAAGTACGAAGTAATGGATTAATCGATGAAATGGTTGTGTTTTGAAAGGTCTAATTTCATTTTACCAACTTTTCAATTAAACGACACTTCATTCTAATAGCATTTTAATACCAGAAGGATCATCTGGGTCGACATGATCCATTCGTAAGTTTTCAAAAGTGAATTTTCATGTAACTGAAGCATGATTAAAAAAGTAGATTAATATCGGTACAAATAGAAGGTTACACATGCAGAAAACAAAGACAGAAAGTTACAAACTATAATACTTACCAGTATCAAACTTTTTTTTTTTTTGGAAAGTTGCTAATGGGTCATTTTTGACCCGCTCGGTTTTTCTAGTGTTAGTCATAATAGTAAAAGCACAATTTATATGAATAATCGATTACACTTTAACTACTGTTCGTTCAAAATAAGAATAACCTCGCTCTCGGACCGATTTTCGTCCGTTCTGCGCAGAGAGCGTAGCAGAGGGTAAGACGGAGAAAAACGTAGGCGATTAAGTGGGGGTTTGGACGTTCTAGTGCAGAGCTGCTTAACTTCTTGCTCACGAACAAATTTCCCCTCCCGAGGTTCCCCTACTATGCGACTGAGATGATCTCGCTCGAGTTGCTGCGCGGCGGGAAGACGCGAAGAGTCCTCCCACCACAACTCCAGCGATAGTTTTTTGGTACGAACACGCAGAATGTATAACAGAGCCGCTTAACTTACTCACGAGCAAATTTCCCCTCCCGAGGTTCCCCCACTATGCGGTACAAACACGCAGAATGTGTAATATAAACCAACGGCAGTCGCTGGAGTTGTGGTGGGAGGACTCCTCGCGTCCTCCTCCCGCCGCGGCGCAACTCGAGAGAGACCATCTCAGTCGCATAGTGGGGGAATCTCGGGAGGGGAAGTTTGCTCGTGAGCAAGACGTTAAGCGGCTCTGTTCTAGTGGTTCTAGCCCTGCCTTAGGCACGTCCCATACGCGAAACGAGGTTATTCTTATTTTGAACGAAGAGTACATTATTTATTGAACATCTTCGCTAAAATTTCTGATAACACGGTTAATAGGTGATGTATCTGCATTCAGTGATGTTCGAGCTGGAGTTGATTAGATTAAACGATAACAATGATTCGTCGAATTCGGACAGTACTGGGAGTATAAGCTCAGGATTGGACAGACGAGGCAGTCAAGGAGCTAGAAGCATTCTATTGAAAGGTCAAATGAGATACATCGAGGACATCAATGCGATCATTTTCTTATGTAGTCCTTTGTTAGTTTACAATACACTAACCATAAGTATATCAATTGATCGAACAGAAGTAAATCAATCTAACGTAATCATCCTTTAACAGAATTAACAGTTTAGACGAACTGCTTAACATGGGTTTATACTTGAACGACCTAAATCCTCACGGGTTGAGTCGTGAGTTAGTGCTTGCCGGATGGCAGCATTGCGGGAGGTACAATACTCTTCCATTTTAGCAAGAAATTTTAGAAAGATTTTTATGAAATTTATGTATAAGTAACGAGGTTTTTCGAAAAATAATAAACGCATCCTCTTTTTTTTTTCTTTTTACCGATAATCGTCTATATCTAAGCAGGGAACAAAAGTGATCCTTAAATTTCAAGATGAAGAGTAATGTCGTTAAGGTGTAAAAGGGCGACCAAATTGTTTATGGCAGGCAGTATCCGACGCTAAATTTCCAAGCTTGCCATGAACCTCTAGAACTATTAAAGAAGTGTCACTTGCACGACACATTACCCTTTCCACCTTCGTTTCTTCCCACCTGCACTTTAAACGTACAGTCAATAAGAACGTAATTCTTATTTTCTGATTAAATAAATCAAGCAGAACTAAAGAACGACAAATATCGGTAACTTTCAAATGCAGTCTGTTTTAATATAGAATAGAATAAAAATTTGCAACGCGTTTCGTCGTTACAAATACGTGGAGTATTTTTCGAAAACTTTGAAATACACAAACTTCATGAAAATGGGCTAATAGTCGATAATAACATTCCTTGACTGAAATGTTATTTCGCTTGTTCCATCTCAGATTAGAGATGATGTTTGAGAGAGCGGAACAGAGATCGACCGAACTGGAGAACAGCTACGCATTGCTAGATCGCTGGAAGAACAAGAGCGACGAGCTTTTATACTCTATGATACCTCAAACAGTCGCAGATCGACTACGCGCTGGAGCGAGTCCTTTGAGTACTTGTGAGGTATTTACAGATTTCATTCAGTACCATTGTAATTAATCTTATTTTATGTATTGCTATTAATCTTATCGTGCTGCGCCCTGTAAATTTGGAAAATGTTATCTTAACCGACCTTCTCTCATATACGACAACAGAAATTAAAAGGTATTATTAGGTCATTCTAAAAGTTCCCGTGGTTTTAAACTGTTCATTTTGAAAAAACTAAACTCCAATGAAATTAGACATTTTTATTTAACCCTCTACTGTCGAGGCGGATTCTCGGAGATCTTTTTTGTTTTCCTCCATTCCATTTAGAATTCGACATTATTATATTAAAATGAAATTAATACAACCAACCACTCTATTCTGTAATGTTCATTAGGAAAATGTGTGATAAAGGTAAATCGGTAAGAAAAGTTGTCAGAAATGTTCTATATTTACGTCTAAACTAACTGGAAGTTGAGGAGTTTCGTAGACTCCATATTGGGCTTTACGTCCCAAAAACGGTGCCTCGACAGTAGAGGGTTAAAATAATTTCCGTAATGTTCGATACAATTCTGCTAACGTATTACAAGAGCATTAATTCCGCGTACATAAAAATCGAAATCTGTAACAGGGGTTTCCAAAGTTTTGCCTAGGTGGCCCAAATTGTAAATTCCAAAATATAAAATTTAGTATTTTTTTAACCGAACAATTTTTAATTATAATACGATAAAATTTATTTATTTTTTTGTAAAAATGTAAATTATCTCTGTAAATTGAAGAGATTGATCTGCCATCGCGGGCCGTATTTCTAGGGTTTGCGGGCCGCACTTTGGGAACCAAATGAATCTCCCTGACCCAAACCTAATTTACACCCGAAAAAAATCATGCTCACAGTTTGGTGGTCTACTTCGGGATTAATTCACTGCAGTTTCCTAAGACCGGGTACCACTATCACTGCAGAATCATACAGTAACGAATTGAAGATTGTCTATTAAGAATTAAAGGTAAAGCAATCAGCTCTGGTGAACAAAATAGGCCCTATTCTTTTGCATGACAACGCCAGATCGCACGTAGCAGGCACAACGGTACAAAAATTGCATCAACTGGGTATCGAAGTTCTACCTCATTTCCCACATTCCCATGACTTATCTCCAACCTATTCTCTCTTTTTCCGCTCATTTGACAATTCGCATACGCAAAAACGATTTAGGAAACAGGATGATATTGAAAACGCCTTTCAGTGGTTTCTTCTTCTTAGAGATTCGAATTTTTACATACGCGAAATTAATGCAAAAGTGTATCGAACATTATGGAAATTACTTTAACCTCTTCAGGGATGATTTTTTTTAAAGTTAGCAAAAATTGATCTAATTTTTTATGTAGTTACATTTATATTCGTGTTAAATCGATAGCAATTAAACTACTTCCCTCAGGAGATTTTGGGAGATTGTGTTTTTCATATTTTCTCCATGGCATATATTAGAATTTTCGGAAAATTTAAAGGTACACATATGTGTCGGTGTCCCTGAAGAGGTTAAATAAAAATGTCTAATTTCAATGGAGTTACGTTCTTTCGAAATGAGCGCCTTAAAACCGCGGGAACATTCAGGATAATCTAATATCACAATTCGTTCAGTCAAGTCTTTTACAGAAAATCAAGTGGAAAGTATTACACATTAGTAAATTGTGCTTAACATTTGACTGCTGGAACTCGAAAGTAAAGCTCCCGCTGTGTAGGGCTGAGTTATACAATTAATAGTCATACTACATATTACGTTAGCCAAATCACTTAATTTCCTGAATATTTTTATTTTACATTTGTAAGATAAATAAATAATATATAAATATAAAGTATAGAATATGAAAATGAAGAGGGCTGATAGTATCTAGCGTTCGATTATCGCCGATAGCAGTCAAAGTGTTAAGAATAAAAATAACTTTTTAGCAAATGTTAATCGAAACCGTTCATTTGCAATAAATAAAAATATTTTAATATCTCCCCTTTTTCATAGTCATTCGAATCTATATCTGTATTATTCTGCGAGCTCTGCGACTTCGCCTATTCGACGATCGAAGGTGCAATGGATATTGTCTCATCGATGAACGCCGTTTTCTCCTGTTTCGACTTGCTTATGGATCAGTTTAACGTGTACAAAGTAGGTGTTACGTGTAATACAAACGAGACACGTTGTTATAACGCTTTGAAAAGTAAAAACCGATGGTTAAATCATACTTCGGTAGTTCAGTGGGCGCTTTAACGCACAGTGTTTCACGTTTACGACTTTCAACAGGTAGAAACGGTTGGTCGAGTTTATATGGCAGCCAGTGGAGCACCTGATAGAACAGAAAATCACGCGCAAAACATCGCAGACGTTTCTCTGCAATTACTGAAACACGTTCGATCACTTAAGTTACCGTCTGGTGTTGATATACAAATTCGTATAGGTAATTCGGTGTGAAATTTATTTTGGACGTTCTCTTTCCTTTTAAGAAGATTGGATTCGATGTTCTGGAAGAAATGGTTCAGTCTTTTTAAGGGGTCATACCATGCCTGAGGCTTCTTAAAATTGGTAAAAGTTTGGGAATTTTTTTCACAGGTAACTACTTACTGAAAAATTTCAATTTTTTTAGGAGTTATAAATGTTACCTTCAGCTTTATTCTTCAATTTTTTTAAAGTAAAAATATTACAAAATGGAGAAGTTATTGCGAAAGTTCTTCTGCAGAAACATCGATTGCTGGCCACCGCAACCGACAAAGATTAGAACATCTGAAGTAAAAAATTCTTTCTGTTTTATAAATAAGAATGTATTGGCTACGACGTAGCGTCAGATTTTTTCGATATCTCAATTATTTAACTTTTTAGAAACGTTTAAATTTGATTTTTCAAAAAAAGAGGTTTTACCTTTTCAAAATGACACCATTTCTATAATAATTACAATTTTTGAAAAATTCGAAGCTAAATTGTAGATGATACATTTTTATTTACAAAACAAGAAGAATTTTTTATTTCAAGTGTTCCAATTCTTCTCGGCGATGGCGGCCAGCAATCGATGTTCTAGCAGAAGAAGTTTCGCAATAACTCCACCATTTTGTAACACTTTTACTTTTTAAAAATTGAGGGAAGTAGCAGAATGTTACGTTTACATCCTCTGAAAAATTTGAAATTTTTCATTTGATAATTTCTTGTGAAAAAATTCTCAAACTTCGCCCTATTTCAAGACGCCTTGGGGTGGCGCGTGCACCCCCTAAAGAAGATTGGATTCGATTTTCTATAAGAAATAGTCCAACCTTCTTAATATTTCCGAGAGATTGAACAATTGCATTCAAGTGCATCCCACTTTCTTAGGAATCCATTCTGGACCAGCCGTGGCAGGTATTGTTGGTATTAAAGTACCTAGATATTGCTTCTTCGGCGATACGGTAAATACGGCTTCTAGAATGCAGACAACCAGTCTGGTAAGTACATTTATTCAGCATGGAAGGTGAGACAGAGTAAATTGAAAAAGATGAATTCATTGATTATTAGAAATTTTTAAATAAATGATTTTGGAGTTAGAATTCGAAACTTGACATTCAACAAAGATTAAAAATAGTTCAACCAAATTGATAATTTATAAATAAAATACCTTATTGTCAAATAATATATTTCTTCTATATAGTTTCGCAAGATATTGTACGTTATTGTGCAACAATTTATGTCACTGATAATTAAAAACAAAAAGACAAAGTGTTATTATTATCTATTTACACGAAAAATTCGCTTTTGCGAATGCGCTTTTATCCGACAATTCGAAAACAATAACTATGAAACATTAAACATGAAAATAAATAACGAATCCTATTTAACCCTTTCGCCGTGGTAGATTTTAGCATACAAAATCT